TCTAGTTACAAACCCCCCCCCCTCCCCCCACAAAACCTAACATGCTAAATTCATCTCATTTGATCTAGCTGTGCGTTTTAGCAATGCGCTTACTTAGACCAGCCTTCAACAGAGGTTATTTTGGCTCGATCTCTGTATTTAGTCGTGCTCTGACTAATAGATCGACACCTCAGAGTTTGTTACTGAGGGTTTCAGGTTTGATCTGTGAGCTAGCTAGCGCTAGCCACGCGGCTGACTTAAATCAGCCAGAGGTTGTTTTAGAGTTCTTTCTGTGACGGTTAACCATCCTCAGGGGCGCAGCCAGAATGGGGGAGGCCCAAATTCAAAGATCCGCCATTTTGTCTTAGCCCCCGAAACGCCGAACCAAAAAGAAAAGAAAGAAAAAAAAGGAAAAAACAGAAAATTTAAAAGGCCTGCATTATGTTTAAGTTTATTTTATTACCATATATATTCTAAAGAGCCGCCATTTTGTTGCTACGAAGGAGGTGGGCTGCTCCCATCCCCCTGCCACGCCTCTTTAAGTAGATCCAAACTGGAGTCCTTGCTAGCTAACTGTTTATTTTATGCATAGCCACGATTCGATTATTTGAAATAGTTCTTGCTTAAGATGTTCACGTGCATATTTTGTGTATATGTCGTCAAAAATGTTAGTTTAACTGACTCTTTCAAATAGTCTTATAAGTTGGTTAGTAATTTGCATTTTATGCCGACTTTCTAGATCTCGAGCTCGCCAGTTAGTCTTCGACCATAAGCACTCTCAAACGATCCGTGAACATGGTAAAAACCACTATCTCACTTCTCCAAGTACTCCTTATTCTTGCTGTATGTTCGGAGCTGATTGAAGGTAAAATATGTAAAATATTGATAATTGTAAACTACTATCTACATGTAAAAAGTTGTTGCATTTAAATAACATAAACTGATTTGACAAAATGTCTTACTATAGGACCATTGCACGGACAAACTGTTACCCTTACAACACTCACTCGAACAAGAACGATACCCACTGAATCAACTCAACAAATAAGCCGTACTATCTCTCCAAGAGTTGGCTTAAATTTCACGACACGCTCTACTATAACTCCAAGCCCAACCACCGTTACTGCTAGCGTATTACCTACAAAACGTAAGTACTTTTCTTGTTTTCAAATTACTTTTGAATAATTGTATTTATTCTTATATATTGGGTCTTTAGCTTTATAACTTACTCTTAGTATTCTTGGGGTATATGTTACATCATATAGCCGCRCGCCATTTTGGAAAGTTGACTACAACAAAGCATTCCTCATTATATATAGTCTCACTTTTGTGTGTGTGTTTTTTTGGTCAACCAGAAAAAGGAAAACAGCAAGAAGCTTTAAAAAATCAGATATGGTTTTTCCAAGGTAAGTGGTTTGGCAACTCTCCATTCGATCCCCTTGATTATTAGGTCTTGATCGACCACGACTATCAGACGGCTCCCAGCAAATTAAGATTACCTGCGATTTTTAATTTCTATAACATTTCATTTATCTGTAATAAATCTCGCGCTCTGATTGGCCAGGGCGCATGTTTTATGAGAACACAAAGCACGCACGCGTCGGGTCCCTCCCAACACACCAAGGGAGCACATTAAAATGTTGTTTGTGTAAGGAAAGTCATTGTTCTTGGTTGATCTATCTTGCGCGCGCAATCCATCTTGTGACAGGCGTTCCTCGTAGTGTTTTGGTTTCGGCCGATCCGAATGGCTTACGATCGTGTAAGGAAGGGAATGACGAGTGTAATATGCTGTTCCACTAATAAACACACTAAAGCCTTTTTCTACGAGATTAAAAACTTTGTTTTGCTCTTCGCTCAAGGACGCCATTTTGTTTGTTTTCATCTTTTTGACGTTACACGTCATTTTTTTGAATTTGTCACGTAATCCGYTTCTATAGATACTGCTACCAGCATAGAGAGAAAAATATTTTGATTTTGGATTATTTGATTGGCTGAAAAGGGTCACGTGGTTTACAGTTTCACTCCCCTCCTTTTTTACACGTCGCTCTGCTCCTCGCAAGATATTCGTCGGTTTTCGGAGTAAATTCGCTAGCCCGACTAAAGCAAGGAACGCCTGCCATGAAGTAAAGCGCGCGCACGTAAACAAGAACTACAATGAACGCCTACTATATCTTAGAATGCGTGCGATAAAATCGATGATAAACCAACACAATCAAAATTTTAACGTGCTCCCTTGGACACACATGCACTTATTATCTTCTTTACGTGATTCGCCAATCCCCGCGTGCTTTATAACTGCACACAACACGCGCGCGCGCTTTTTGTGGATTTGGCGGGAACTTTCGCGCATTTAAATGGGTTCTCGCTACACCACTAATGAATCATCATCGCTTTAATAGTTTCAGACAACAAACTGATGAACGAGACCATCATCCTACTAGCCATTTCTCTTTGCTTATTGATAATAACCGCCTTGTTATTTATGACGACACTGATATGCTATGTGTGGAATAAAGACACTGRAAAGGCCTTGAATGCTAGTGCTGACAAAAACTGATGAGCAAAGGATCTATGTGTTGTGTATTGTCAAGAATAATGCAATAATAAACAGTAATAGAAGTTAATAGAGAGTATTATTTATTCAGTGCTATTACAGTCTATATATATCCCACACTATGTGGGTCTGTGAGTCTAAACTGCTATCCATCCTTTGCATTTCAGAATACAGATATTTCAAAAAATGTTGGCGAAAAAAGTTAAAAAAAAAAAGAAAGAAAAAAGTTAGTCTTAACTCCTAACCATCCTTTGCTTTTCAGTATACAGCTATTTCAAAAAAGGTKGGTGAAAAAAGTTTACAAGAAAATTTACCGGAAAACGTGCAGAAAAAAAATTTGGTAAAATGGATCCTCTCTGAGGTATCCTGGTTGCGAGGCAAACATGGAAATACAAAAGAAATCACATTTATTCTAGCTCGATGGAATTTGTGGCATTAGACCGTTTTGTCAAGGTTGCGTGTACATCCAACTTGACGGGCCACAAAACTGAAAAACACAAATTCAGTAAAATTGAGAAGACAGTTTTATATTTAAAGAGGAGAATAATCGACTTTATGAATTCTACTTGCAAAAAAAATKCATAGCACTGCATAATAATACTCGTGTTTTTGGTATCGTGGCCCGTCAAATTTCTAAATATTGTTGTGACSTTTCGCGGATTGAATTCACATTTACCGTGGTGCAATTCGGGCTTGGTACGCAGCACGATTCAACAAAACCTTMACCAACCTTTATTTTTGAATTTTGTAATAGCTGTATATTAGGGACTGTGCAATAATTATCGGGAGGGGGGGTTCTGAAATTCTCCAAATTGGGATTAAACTGAGGCTAACCCCCTGTGCTAAACGTAAAATAACTTCTCACCCCTCCCCCTTTTGAAATGAAATAGCTATCAGCCTCCCACCCACCCCC